CCCCCCCCCCCCCCCCGCAAATTAGCAGCTCAGGGAATGCCTACATATGCAGTGTATGGTGTCGCAGGCAGGTCTGCAGCACCACACACCACACGTCTGTGCTCATCTGTATATGACCCTAAATTCTTATAGGGTAAAATGGCACTGTGGATTCTCAGCACTTCTAAGAATGGGTTACTTTGAATTTTTATCCAGCATTAGTTCCCAGTTTATGTTTGTATTGCTGCATCCCATGGAGCATTTCCCATTTTATATCTGTATTCTTGCTGCTTTCTCCCTAAATGGGTTACCCTAGGTTATATCTCAAATTATTGAGATAGCCTTAAAGTTCTTCAGAACTCTGTGAAATCCTGCTCTGTCCTTATGGTTATATACTATCTTTCAGCATTTGGTTTTGTGAAAATTTGATAAAGTAGAGTTCATACTGTCCCCCAGGTCATTAATTAAAATAGATAGCACAGATCCAAGTACCAAGTCCTTTTAGCTCCCAGTTAATATACTGCTCCCCATTTAGAAGCTGCACTGTTAATAATTATATTTTTTTAACAATCTCTCAGCCAGTTTTTATATTAGGTGTGGTATCTCTGCCATGGTAGTAATGATTAGACCATACAGCAGAAAGGAACTGGCATTTAAGTGGCAGGCCACGGTTATAGCACACTCAAAAGGGGCAGCAAGAACTGCCCTTTCCTTGAAAATTACCAGGCATTAACTGGGTCTAGTGCAAAGTAACTATTAAACAAAATCTCTTTAGCCTTATCATCCCTAACCAATGACAAGATTCATCTGAAGAACTTACAAGAACAAGACCCCCACTGGGGTGGCGGGGGGGGATGGGGAGGGGAAGGAAAGAAACTCCGTTTCACCCCACCCCCCCTCCAGCTTTTGGCATGGCAAAGCCCAGCCAGCAGCGCCATGCTGCCACTGGTAAAAGGCTAGGGTGGATATGTGGAAGAAAGCCCCCCCTGCCTCACAGGTCCCCCCAGGTACCCCAGAAAGGGTACCTTCCCCTATCCCCACCCCCTCCCCTTCTCTTGCTGCACCTGGAGGAGACTCCTGTCTGTAACAAGCCTGTAAAATCGCATGCAAAAAATTAACCCACAAGGGAACCTGAACAGAAGTTCCCTACAGTACTCTGCTCTAGAACACCTTCATCTGATAAGTGATTTATTGAGGGTTAATTTTTCACATTGTAGCAGGGCACTAAGGTGCCTGCTACTTGAAGAGCAGGAATGGCCACCCAGTTGCCAGGGCAACCATGAGGCAGTAGGGGCCCTCACCTGGTGAGTCAGCTGACCGGAAGGGGCAGGGCTCACTCCTAGAAAGCACAGGCTGGAGGCTGAGAGAGGGGCCTCAGCTGGCAGCCAAGGAGAAGGAGTGCTGCCTGACTAAGCAAAGGGGAAAGGCCTGAATGCAAGCAGTCAGTTATGCTGGTGAAGGATGGAGCAATCGCAGAGTGTGACTCAAAGGAGGTTAGCTGAGTGTTTTAGCTTTGTGTTATAGCCCAGGGGCTTGTGTTATTGTTTGTGTTGTTAGACCAGAGGACCAGGTGAAGCTATAAGGGGATGGAGGAGGCCTCAAAGGGGAACCACATCAGTCCCAGCCCCAGAGAGAGAGTGGGCAGTGGGAGAAGCCCCAGAGAGAGGGCCGGGGGAAGGCATCCAATAAGACCGAAGAACGTCCGGTACATCCGTGAGGCTTGGGGCGTGCTACAGGGGTGGTTAGAGCCACGCAGAGCCCATAAGGCTGGGGCACACCTAAGCCCCATTCCAGAAAACAAAGCTGTATAACCGTAGCCAAGAAGACTAAAGGTAGCCTCCCTATTATACACATAAGACCAAAGATGTGGTGGGCGAGATTGTGAGGTGCAGATAGGCAGCTTGGCATGGTAGAGAGGGTAACAAAAGGGGGAGCATAGTGACCCCGAGGTTCCCGTCTTGTCACACACATGATCGGCCATTTCAAAAGCACCCTGGAGCCATGAACATGTGTTATGTCACAGCTGTAGAATGCTGTCAGGGGGCAGATTGCATGAAAAATGTAACTTGTGTAAGCACCCGTAGACTCTTAATTTAGCCTCAGCCACTGCAATATAAGGAAAGATGTTAAATACTCAATCTGTATAAGACCTAAGACCTCCCTAGCCTTAAAATCAACAGGGCCCATACTACTAGCTTTCTGCTTCCCCAGAATTGGCATCCCAAAATCTCACTTTCAGTGGGCACATGTTGCAACAAGAACTTTATTACAGATTAATAATTTCCCCTTTTTAAAATTCCTGTCCCATGCTATCATCACCACCACTAGTCTGCATTCCAGGGTGCTGGGAAGCAAGTGAAAAGATCTTCCTACTTGTGACCAGATAAAAAGTTTCCTTCCTGCCCCCAAAAAGCTGAGAATTCAGTTGTGACAACTACACTATCTCCAAGGCAGGTAAACAACATTTTGCATATTCAGGATGGTAGAATCCAGGCATTTGCCTCATTCACATGAATTGGCTGTTGAATAGTTGCAGGAGAGAAGGTTCCTGCACCAGCGTCCCCTGTCATCCCAAAAAGTCCACATGCACACAATATCTAGGAGGAGGAAGAGGGGATACCCAAATGCAGAAAGATGCACAATACAGCCCTTCCCTTCAGTATGAACTTCTGGGGATCCCCAACCATTTGTCAGCCTCTTCCTTCTATCTCCCATTATTCCAAGATGGGGAGGGTAAATGGATTTTTTTCTTATGTTTCTCAAGAGAATTCTACATTGGCATTACTGTATTGATGCAATTATGCCAGTGCAGACCCCTTAAGGAAGACATGCTACAATGAAAAGTGTGGTTCACACAAGTACAGTTTGCTAAGGAAATGTATTTGGTGAATTAAGATTCACCAGTTTCAGCTTTCCTTTATTTACGTCAATGCATTAAGGGTTTGCATAGTATAACAGCATATTTATACTGGTATAAATGTTTGCATATTCTTACATTCTAATGTAAACAGGCCCTAGAATATTGTGAAAGTATCAGAAACTTTACTGAAACCCAAATACATTCTACTTATCCTTGACAACCAAGGCTGCATGACAGCAAAGTACTAAACTATTAGCTTAATTTTAAGCATATGCTTCAGCCCAATCAAAGTCAATATAGGATTATGAACTTTGTTGAGGGGCAATGGGATTTTTCATCTGCTCAAAGTTAAGAGAATACTTAAGTGCTTTCCTAAATCAGAATCATGGACAGGCTATTATATTTAATCACCAGGAACTGTGGCTTCA